ATATATATATATTATTCTTAAATTTGTTCAGAGACGCATGCACACAAATAACTTCAAATAAAATTCAACTTTTCTGTCAAACTCTCCCCTGCTGCAAAGCAATGCATATGATATGATCATATAAAAGTATAACCGTAAATGAAAAATTAAAATTAAAATTAAAATTAAAATTAAGAAAAAATGTAAGTCCCCCATCCCTCTTTCTGAAAATTGAAATCAGCCAAGCTCCAAATCAACAGTCCTGTGATAAGCACATACATGGTGCCGGTATGCATCTAAGAAAACAGGGATTGGTAACTCCCCGTTCCGGCGGCCGCCATGGTAGGATACATCAAAGAGCTTATAACCTGATCAGGCATGCTGAGCAATCCCGTCATCTCTCCGGCGGTCATTCCGCTCGGTCCATAGAATGAATCGAACTGACCAAATATGTCGTCCAGCTCGATCGAAGAACCGCTCAGGCAATTGGCCGTGAAAGAGTTGGGCTGAGGAGAAGAAGCTGACAGGAGATATGAATCTGAACCATTGAAATGATCACAACACTCAGGCGTGATCAGAGGGGTAGGTACTCCTTGCCGTCAAAGAGTTGGGCTGAGGAGAAGAAGCTGACAGGAGATATAAATCTGAACCATTGAAATGATCACAACACTCGGGCGTGATCAGAGGGGTAGGTACTCAGCAGCTTCTTCTTCAGCTTGGTGTTCCAGTAGTTCTTTATATCGTTGTCTGTCCTCCCGGGCAGCTGGGCGGCAATCAAAGACCACCTGTTTCAATCAAAGACTGATTTTTTTGAATGAAATTCTATATATTGTGGTTGTGGGATTAAAAAAAAAACATATTTTTCAGTGAATTCTGCTGACAAAACTTAATTTTGAGGTTGATTTTAACTGAAGTGCTATGTATTGCGACTATTGGATTAAAAAAAAACAGATTTTTCAGTGAATTCTGCTGACAAAACTTAATTTTGAGGTTGATTTTAACTGAAGTGCTATGTATTGTGACTATGGGATTAAAAAAAAACAGATTTTTCAGTGAATTCTGCTGACAAAACTTAATTTTGAGGTTGATTTTAACTGAAGTGCTATGTATTGCGACTATTGGATTAAAAAAAAACAGATTTTTCAGTGAATTCTGCTGACAAAACTTAATTTTGAGGTTGATTTTAACTATGTATGTATATTCATAAGCAGACCTGCTTCCAATTCTGACGAAGAGGCTGCAAATTATGTTCTCCTCCTCCTCTGAGAAGGAGCCATGTTTCAGATTTGGGCGAAGATAGTTGAGCCATCGAAGCCTGCAACTCTTGCCGCATCGTTTCAGGCCTGGATCAGTACAATTTCGTGCAATTAAAGTACCAGGCTTATTTAAGAATCATTCTCCGATCCTCAGGACTTCAAAATATGAATTGTGATGATGATGATGATGAAGATGGATCGATTAATTGAGAAGATTAAATAGAAATCTAGATATAGATCAAACAAATAATTAAAAATTTAATTTATTTGATGAATTAGGGATGAAATAGCTGAAATAATTATACCAACTTTTTGTGGAAGAGGAATCCAATTTCCACCAGTTCCGTTCTGCTCTATGTAAGACTTGAGTTTGGCATCTTCCTCCGGTGACCATTGTCCTTTCTTCACCTTCTCCTTATCGCAGCATGGAGCTCTTCCCATGGCGGCAATCCTCCTCCACCTCCTCCTCCTCTTCTTCTTCTTCTTCTTCTTCTTCTTCTTCTTATTCGTAAGAGTTTAAAAAGAGAAATTAATGAGAGACTGCAATAATATATTAGTGGGAAGAGAAGAAAGGCTGGGGTTTGTTTCCTCTCGTCTTCCTTGGAGTAGAATATATATGATGCAGCCATCAGCAATTTGGACCAACACTATCATGAGCTCACATATAAATAGTTTAATAATGATTTGAATATCTAAGTTAACTCGAATATCTATATAGTTTTTGTATCTATATGGTTTTCTTAATTCGTATAATACTAAAGTTTATGCAGTCACAGCATGATAAAAAATTCACTCGGGAGAGAAAGAGTCAGGAGCTGAATAAGTTTGGCTCTGAACATTCAGAGTAAAATTTAGTTTGAGATTGTAAGACATTTTCTCCTTTGCACAAATATGATTCTTTCAAATCTAAAATACGACTTTTCTGTGCTATATATATATATATATATGGCAAGGTAATTATTAAAAACTTAACCGGCAGAATAAAGAACAGAGTCAAATTCAATCTTTATGAAAAATAATGAAGGGGGTAACACTGGAAAAATCATCAAATACCGGCAGAAATACTGGCTATTTTTTTTAGCGGGTACTCGGTCAGCGATGCAGCCGAACTGAAAAACCAGCTGCAAGTTTAGCCGGTTTATTGTAACTCCTGAAAAGTTAGTGGAAAATTCAATCTATTTATTGTAACGGTTGAAAAACTGACTGACTTTTTAAACTGATAATTATGTTACTCGAAATCGATTAATTACAGCCTGAAATTTCTTGTAGTAAAACAACCTGCCAATAAACTGTCGAAAATTTGTATCGTGAACTGAATAACCAGCTGAAATATCAGCCCGCCCTTACTCCATCTCTTGTTAGTCTCTCTTGCCGATGTGATTTTCTACCACAGCGTAGATTCTTTTGTATCCCATATCTTGCTCTTAAGATTTTATATTTACATAATAAATTTGGATTTTTAAATCTATGCATGAAGATGTGTATTTCTGTAAGTTTAAAATGGGTTTAAATTTGTTATTTTTGGTGTGATTTTAGGATTTAAGTGTCATGTGTAAATATGAAAGTTTAGGTCTGAGATGTGTAAATATATAAGAATTGTGGTTTGTGTATGTAAATGCCCCTTTTTTTGTTTAGTGTTACAAACGTTTGTATACATACAACTCTATTTCAATTAATTTACATTACTTTTCTGACTTTAATGTTTTAGAGGTGGGAAATTTACCTCCCTAGCACATAATTCTTATGTATTTACATATATTACACGCAAAGTTTTAAATGTAAATGCATAGTAATTTGGTGTTTTAAACTTATGCATTAAAATGTGTACTTTTGAAATGAGTTCAAGTTTGCTATTGGCTGATATTAAAGATTTGAGTGCTCTATGTATAAATATGAAATATTAGGTATGATATATGTAAATACATAAGAATTGTGTGATGTATATATACACTACTGGAAAAATAGTTATTAACTACGAAAAATAGTTCAGGTAGTATGGTCAATTTCCAACGCTAAATCCTATTACTGATGGATTTAATTAAGGTGAAAATCATTTTGAAACTAAAATGTGGGTTGCAAAGCTATTACCATTAGAAAAGTTAAATGGAACCCCACCCCCCATATATAAGAGATTTTTCTCTAAAATATACATAAGTGATCAGTTTTTTATTTTTTTTTTTTTTTTTTTGTCTTTTTCCCGTGTAGAAATATAAATATGTTATCTCTAGCATGTCATCTTATGTCTGAAGAAGATACAAAGAGAGGGAGAAAAGCTTGAGAGAAGTTGCAAAGCTAAAAATGATGAAAAAGAGAACCAGAATCACATCCCTTCATTACAACACAAGTTTTTTTTATGGTACAGCATACACAAATAGTAAAGAAGTTTCTAAAGGATGGAAATTACCTTATATACCCTTATAGTGTGTCTCATGGCTCTTATATATTAACCTATTTCACTTTGTGTTATTACCCCCCATCAACCTGATGAAGTTTGGAGCAAACTTGAAGCTTGGACTGCATAAATTTGAACGTCTTTTCAGCAAAGATTTAGTAGATATATTTGTTGGCTGATCTTGGGTGTTACTGTAGTGGATTTGGAGAAATATGAATTGAATTTGGTTCCAGATGAAACCATAGTCTATCTCGATATGCTTGGTGCGAGTGTGGAAGACCAAATTCATAGTAATTGTCATCATGGAGAGGTTAGCACATATAAGGTTGGTGGGATCCGATTGTGGAGAGCCAAATTCAGCAAAAAGACGTTGTAGCCATAGAGTGTTGGACGCCACTGTCGTCGAGGCACGATACTCAGTTTTAGTGAAGGAACGAGCATGTATGTTACTTCTTGACTTTTCATTAGATTGGAGTGGTACCTAGAAAAGTGCAATAGCCTGTAGTTGAGCGCCGATTTTATGAATCGTCAACTCAATCGACATTTGAGTATGTGTGGAGTGTGAGATCACTTGGCTTGATGAGAAGTCCATAATCTTAGGTGCCATGGAGGTAGCGAAGTATCCATCGAAGAAGTTGATAGTGGTACGTTATTGGGGAATGCAAGTGTTCGCATAAGAAGTTAACAGTGAAAGAAATGTCAAGTCGTGTAATTATAAGGTATTGGAGTGCTCCAGTGAGTTGGTGAAACTCGGTGGGATTGTCCATCAAAGGGGAGGTGGGAGAGCCACTTTCAAGCTTTCTTGGTAAAGGCGTCGCCACAGCCTTGCAGCTGATCATATGAGCTTGAAGGATTATTTGAGTGAGGTAGCTTTGTTGATCCAAGAAAATATAATCAGCTTGCCTAGTAACATCAATGCCAAGAAACCAAGATACCGATCCCAGAAGTTTGATTTGAAACTTAGATCTAAGGTGAGTTGTGAATGTTTCAATTGTTGTCACGTCATGTACTATAATGAGAATATCATCGACTTAAAGGAGAATATATATGCAAGGGTTAGAGTTATGCAAGATGAGGAGAGATGGTTATGTCTTGCTGATTTGAAAGACTTCGTGGATGAAGAATGTAGTGATCATTGCAAACAATTGTCTCGACATGATTTGGGAAATGATGATCAATGTAGCATGTCTGTTTTTTGATATAAACTATTTCAAGAAGCTTACCATGTAGAAATGTGTTAGAGACATCAAATTGTAGGATTGGTCACTTGTAATAACAAGTAACCGTAAAAAACACTCTTAGTATTTTCATCTTTGTCACATGACTATATATTTCGAAGTAATTCATGCCATATTTTTTATTACACCCTTGCGCCACAAGAAGGACTTTACATTGGGCGAATGTGCCATCCAAGCTATATTTAGTGGAACAAGTCCATCGACATCTAAGCATAGGTTGATTTGGTGGAGGTGGAACCAATGCCCAAGTACTCCGTGCATGAAGAGCAAAAAACTCCTCATTCATAGCAAATTGCCAGTAAGTCTACTTAGCAACTCGTTTGTATGTTTTAGGATTAAAGGGATGTTTGAGTTGATGGAGGAGATTGAGCTTTTTTAGCAGTTTGAGGTTGTCGATGCGGCTACAAGTGATCATATGGTCATGTTGTATGTAAGTTTGATTAGGGTGGATGGTAGTGTGTATGGAGGGGGTATTTGTGGGGAAGGTTTGTGTGGTGGAGACGTCTGACCTGGTGCAGATGAGGGTGTGGTTGGCACAGTTTGGTGTACATATGGAGGGACAAGTAGGAGATGGTTTGTTGGAATATTCGGAGGAGATAGGGAGGATTAGAGGTTTTGAAGAGATCGAGAAGAAGAGTTTGTCCGAGGTTGGTTGGGAGCACTCGTATCCTTTATGGTTGATCACATGGGTGAGAGCGATGAGCTAATTTATGTGGTGTTTGTCTCCTTAACCATTGATAACATAGATAGCCGAAAAACCGAAGATTGGAGTAGTTAAGTGGGTGATTGTATGGAAGTTGTTAAGGTGATTTGGATTGGGTGATTTGAGATGACATTCTATTTACAAGATAGGATGTTGCAAGAAGCATACAACCCATAATGCGAGAGGTAGGGAGGCATCATGTAGGAGGTTTCTAGTAGTTTCAACGAGGTGTCCATAATAATGCTCGCCCTTGACAAGAGGGAGTTCGAACCAACGCAACACTACAACAAGAGGAGGTAAAGAGAAAATTTGTTTGATTCTACAGTAAGAATGTCAGAGAAAAGACACTCTTACCTGCTAATCCAACTCTAAAAAAAAAGTTAATTCATCATAGGATAAATTAAAATTCAAAGTTTAGGTTTTCAATATATAAATTCATAAGAGTATAGTGACAAGGATGTATATCATCATTTTTTTCCTTAGAGATTTAAATAATAATAATAATAATATAATCAAGCTCATGTAAGAATCTTAATTACTAACCATCCAAATTATTTAAGGAAATAGTTAGGGCAACCGACACATTGATATTTACAAATCAAGCTCCCAGGTATTTAAATGCACGCTTAAATAATGATACTTGCTACATTTTTTAATAATAAAAAAAATAATTATAATTAATTAGCCATAAAGTAAGATGCATCAATACATAGACATATAGGGTCATGCATACCAAATGACAAGCAAGTGACATGCCTATAATTTAAAAAGAAAAATTTTAAATAAATAAATAACCTTCATATTATAAATACCAAAACAAAAATAAAAAAAATTAAGAATAAAAAATACAAATAATAGTAATATTATTCATAGGCTAAACAACAAATAAACAAAAATTACAAAAAATAAATAAATAAATAAAAATAATAATTAATAATTAACTAATTAATAATTAACAAAAAAATAAAGAAAATATACTTAACAAAAAATAAACATAAACCATCAAAATCTTACATTTTATTATACATTTTGATGCTATTTTTAAAGACAAAATGCTGTTGCATCATAGACCATTAAATCTATAGTTATTTCAAATATTCAAAATTAGCCTTCAATCTTATCTCACAAAAAAAAAAAAATACAAAATGATAAATAACGTCGAAACTCATTCATTTTCCCAAAAATATTTAGCTGAGATCACCAATCCATACAGATGCATTCTGCTACAAAAAATCAACATATAACTGGCACAACAACAAACCCTATTCAGCCACTAATCCAACTAAAACCAAAACCTCCTCTACGTCTCTAACTGGTTGACACTTCAGAGCCTAACACACAAAGAATAAACACGTGAGCGTTAAACAGGAGGCACTTACATACATATATATACCACTCAATTCCTATTTATTTACATATCTAACCCCTAAACTTCTTACATTCATACCACCCCAAATCTTTCATATCGCATCAAAAATACCACCATTATATAACTTTTAACAAGTGAAATGCACCTTTTCATGCAAAAATAAGGTGGCATGCATGTAAATGAAATGCACCTTTTCATGCAAAAGTAAGATGGCATGCATGTAAGAATTGATCTTTTAAGTGTTAAATACATTTTAATACATAGGAATTGAATTGTGGTATATATGTAATTCTTCCAAAAAACAAAAAATACACCTTAGTGATAAGATCAAGAAAGGAAAAACTTCTTTATCTTTGCCCCTAGAGATGGTTGCTGGTCCCCTTCTTCAACAATATCCTCACTGCTTTGATGCTTGCATCCTACTACATCTTCTTTCTTCTCATCAGCCTATATATATGTCATGCATATAGCTCAGTCACGCAACAAAAATCAACTTACAAGCATTATTATGGCGTATATCAACAGAAATCCTGTGATATTTACATGCATAACATAATTCTCATGCATTTACTTATCTAACATCTAAACATATTCATATTTACATCCATACCACACAAATCTCTACCCCCTACCACCACAAAAAAAACCCCCCCCCCACCACCACCTTTCTAAAAGTGAGATACACCTTTTCATGCATAGGTTTATCATACCAATGTGTAAATATCAAAATTTGGGAGTTTGATATGTAAATACGTAAGAATTGTGTGGTATGTATGTAAATTTCCCATTATTATAAAGTCATTATTTAAAACCCAAGCTTTGAATCAGCCTTCAAACTGTTGAAATACAAACCATGAAAATTTTACAGGAAACATTGCTCAAAAGCAGAATTCTTTAATCATATGGAGGCACAAACTGCAATAATATGTTGGAGCATTTACATATATATATACCACCCAATTCCAATTTATTTACACATCTAACACCTAAACCTTGCTTTTTTTACATTTGTCTCCCAAATCTTTCATATGACAAAAAAATACCATCATTTTACCTTTTAACAAGTGAAATACAACTTTTCATGCATATAGTATGTAAAAATTGAAGTTTATGTGTTAAATATGTAAATATTTAGAAACCTACTGATATGCATGTAAATCTTCCAAAAATATTTGTTATCTTACCAGTGGAAGCACAGCAGATGATCCAGCAGCCTTCAAAAGAGCCTCTTTTGCTGCCGGATCCTCAAGCTTTTGATTATTATCATCTGGGCTAAAATACAAATTTTAAATTGCCAACAAATCAGGACCACTCCATTATCCTTGAAAAAACAATTTCAGTGAAAATAAATAAGCATGCGTTGAAATTCATAGGTTCCAGACCTCAACTGCACCTAAACTCGTCGCTGCAAATAAAAGAATATACCATACTGCAAAAGAAAACCTAGTTTTCAGATATGAACCACATGGCTCGAGCATTACGCCACCATGTGGCAGTTTCACAAAAAACACTGTTACGAATATTACATGCAGACCACACAATTTTGTTGTATTTACAGATCTAACACCGAACTTTCATACTTATATTAATAATACTATGTTACGATAAAACTTATGCATGAAAAAGTGTGTTTAATTTTTTGAAAGTAGGTGATAGTGGTATATTTGATGTGAAAGGTTTGAGTGTTACGAATGTAAATATTAAAGTTTAGGTGTTAGATATGTAAATACATAAGAATCGTGTGGTAAGCATGTAAATGCCCCAAACTGTTAATGCAATGACAACTGCTTACTGAAAAACTAAGCTATTAGCTTTGGAATCAAAAATATAGGGAAGGATCCAAACCTAATAAAATCATGAAATAATGCCTCAAAATCAAGCATAAAAAAGAAACAGAAAAGACATCAAATAATTACACATCCAAATGCACATATATCAATTTCATAACGTTCGTGAACCTCCAATTTTGAGGTTCAAAAGTACCATGCAGCATCTGAATCAGAATATCAGTCCCAGGAAGAAACAATATCCTCTTAAGAAAATTATGGTCAAGTCTTCTCAATTTTTAAAAATCCTCAAAGATATACTTCTAGTTAGTTCGGTTCTGTCCATCAAATGAACAGGTTTTATCGGTGCTTCAGTTCTGAATTTCAAAAACTAAATAAATAAAGTTTATGAAAAAAAATTACGCAAAAACCTAATTTGTTCATTCATAACATGAGCCTAAATAAGGAATTACAATGTTCTAAAAATAAAACCTTAGACTTCTTCAATATTTTCTTTGTGCCAATAAAACCCTAAATAAGGTCCGATTCTTAACACTGTCCCTCAAGCTAGGCAAAAGATATCCACTAAGTCCATCTTATTACATAACCTAGACAAATCTAATGAACTAAGTCCTTTAGTGAGGCAGTCCACCACTTGATCTCCGGTGGCTACATGACTTAGCTCTAGTAGCACGTTATTCAGCTTTTACTTGATGAAGAATCTATCAATCTCCACATGTTTGGTTCTATGCACCAAGTTGTTGGAAATGTTGATTGTTGACTTGTTGTTGCACCACAACTTAATTTGAGTTTCTTAGTCTACCTTAAGCCTGATTTACAAGGCTCTCGACCACATCATCTGGACAACTCCTATGGCAATTGCTCTGTTGTTGACCTCGCTACCACAGACTATTTCTTGCTCTTCCAAAGACCAAGTTGCCCCCTACAAAAATGCAGTAACATGAGGTGGATCTTCTGTCGTTTGCACAACTTGCTTGGTTAGCGTCGCAATAGCCCACAATGTTTGCATGCTCATTCTTCCTAAATATCAACCCCATCCCTGACGCACTCTTCAAGTACCTCAGAATTTGATGTAATGCGTCCATATGACCCTTCCTTGTATCATGCATGTAGCGGCTTACCACACTCACTGCAAAAGAGATGTCGGGTTGAGTGTGACACAGACAGATCAAACACCTCACCAATCTATATGGTAGCTCCCACGATCAATCAGTCTCCCTGCCTCTGCACTAAGCTTGGTCTTCTGGTCAATTGGAGAGACTGCGAATTTGCGGCTCAGTATGTCTATTTACGTGAGATCCAATACATACTTTCTATGGGAAAAGGCTATCCACACAGGTCTACAGACCACTTCAATCTCAAGAAAGTATCTGAGTTATTCAAGATCTTTCATCTTAAATTCATTCGCCGCCAATCTTACATTTAGTGGGGAAATTTTTGTTTTATCATCATCAATGGCAATGATGTCTTCAACATACACAGCAAGTATAGATATGACCTTCATATTATCAAAAAAATAATGTATGGTCAACATTGATCTGTTGATATCCCATGCCCGTCATAACCTTCTGAAACTTGTCAAACCAGACTTGAAGAGACTGTTTCAAGCCATAAAATAATACTTAAGCCAACACATTTTTCCCACTGTCTTGACTGTACCGAATCTTGATGGTATCTCCATATATATTTCCTCGGTAACTCGCCATGAACATATGCATTCTTCACATCAAATTCATGTAACCTCGATCCATCATTCATTGCAAGAAAAACCAGTATCCTCATTTTGCTCAACTTTGTTATTGGTGCAAAAGTTTCATCATAATCAATGTTATATGTCTCACTATACACTTTCTCCACAAGTCGTGCCATGTATTGCTATGTCTTCCCTTCTGGAGTTTCCTTCACTGTAAAAATTCACTTGCATCCAACTGTTTTTTTCCTTATTAGTAGGGACACTATTTGCCATGTTTGGTTTTTATCGAAAGCCCTAAGCCCTTCATGCATAGTGTTTGTCACTTTTGATCCTCCTTAGCAACCTGCCAACGCTTAGGTATAAAGATAATGTCCAAATATGCAATGAATGTTCTATGTAAATGTGATATGTTAGAATATGACAAAATTAGCAATATCATGTTCCCACCCAAAACGGTCAGAAGGATGTCCTGCATTACTGCAAGATGTCCTCCTTAAAGTTAAGGGTTATGAGAAGAATGAGGAATCATATCACCTGAAAATTCTGAGTTGGAGGTGGATGATGTAGGTGTCTCAAGAGTCTTGGAAGACTAGGACAATAGACTACCTGGCATAGGTGGCACTACAGACACAGTTCCTCGTTTTGCTTTCTTCTTCATGTGTACACCATTAGCTCACCTTTAGCCTCATCCCAACACCCATTGGTTCACTCTCCTCATTTTCTGATTCCTGAACTGACCTCCCACATCACAAGTCAAGGCAATGCTTCCACATGCACCACTCTCTCACCATTAGTACTCACCCTGTCTTGCCTCATATCTCTAGTATTTGGCGAGTCACCAAAGAGTGAGGTCACCTCTTGGGTCTATTACGGTTCAAATTCTCTAAATGACAGATTCGTGCTCACAAACAATTTTCTCTATCGGGCTCCAACAAACATACCTCTTTCGAGGGTAGCAAAATAACATACTTCACAGTTTTAGGATACGGCTTACCTACTAATGGTTGTTATCCTCACAAAACATATACATCCAAACAAATTAAATCGGAGGATCTCACTATTATCTCCTTTTAACATCTGACAAGGAGAATTACAATCCAACACCCTCATTGGTTGATCGGTTGAGCAGCTATCAAAATTGCTTGCCCCAATAAGTATTTTGGTACATTCATTGCGATAACTATGCATTGCGCAACCTCTAAAAGGTGTTTATTCTTCATATATACTAATTAATTTTATGCTAGTTTGTATGGACATATGGTTTGATAATATATCTCCTAAGCTGATAAGTATTCCACAGATGCTTTGTCGGTATATTGTCCCATTAGATCTTAATACATTCACTAATGTATCATATTGAGTCTAGATTGCCTTACGAAAGTCTTTAAAACAGCAAGCACATCACCCTTATTTTTCATCAAATATAACCAAATAAAACGAGAAAAGCAATCGATAAATGTCACAAAATATTGATAATCATTCATAGAGCATGTAGAACAAGACCCCCAAACATCAAAATAAATCAATTCAAAAACACTATAACTCTTATTCCTATAACTGATATAAGAGCTCATAGTAAGCTTGTCAAACTCACAAGCATATCAGCCAAGCTTTTGTTTATTTGTCTTTTCAAACAAAGAAGGATAAAATTGACTCAATAAACTAAAACAAGTGTCTCACGCATCTTGTGATGTAGCAGCAACATGCTCATCACACTTTTCCTACATTCTCCTACTTCATCACTCTCTGCCATGGATGTCAACGCTGAGTCCATCGTCTCACGGTCCAAGTACCAAAATTCATCATACCACGTTTCAGTCCCAAATGTATGGCCCATCCCTTGTCTTGAAAAATCATCTTAGAAATATCAAAATAAACAACACATTTTAGTTGGAGAATAACGACACTAATGAATAAAAGGTTCACATAAAAAGGAGTATGCGAAACATTGGACAAAATCATATAACTGGTACCCTTCACTGTAACCTTACCAACTACAGGCTGTATTGTACCATCAGTAGTTTGGATGCTCTCTGGTACTGTTAGCTGAGTATAGGAAAAGAACTCTTTAGCAATACATGCTACATGTAAGATGCACCAGAATTTACTATTCATTCTGATGAACATGTGGTGAAAATAGACGCAAGAGCACGTGTATCACAAGTAGCTTTCTCAGAGTGAGCATAAGTGACAATGTTTTGATGATGAGTGGTTGGAAGCATCCTCAACCCAATCTCATGCAGCTTTCTGCTTCCTCTTCAACAACTTCAGACACTCATGATTCTCATTAATAAAAACCACACTTATCTCTACCTCTTCTACTACCATCATAATTGTGTGGTATCCTCCTTTTCCACATTTTCGGCCACCATGGGCACGACCACGGCCTCCACTTTGTCCACGTCCACCAGTCTGTCTCTGTCCATGGCCTCTACTTTGTCCACGTCCACCAGTCAATCAACTCCAGACACTCACTATTGCAAGACAGTCAACGCTAATCGCGCACCCAGAAGTCTCAGCTTAGAGTGTAGCTTCATGCGACTCTACTCTTGTATCATTGCAGCAATAGCCTCTTCCAGTGAAGGGATAGTTGTCTAAGCTAGAAGGATTGATCTCCTCTGATCAAACATCAAGTTCAGATGGGCCAGAAACTGCATAGTCTTAATTTGTGTAAAGACCTCCCTTGCACTCCAGATCGCCACACCTCGACATCAATGAGAAGTGATTACGATCCGCCCATAGCAGCTCCAATTATATGGCATATTACTAAATCAATCAATCACCTTGCACCACCGCTTTTCTCATGTTGAATTTGAAACACCCGCATGTGGTTCTCCGTTCCAGCATAAATCCTCTTTAACTTTGCCTAGATGGCCTTCACTTTTCGAATGTCATCTACTAAGGATGCAATTGACCGAACCATCAAGTTGAGCAGCCCGATGTAAATTAAGTCATGTGATTCACCACTTTTACTCTTTGGTTCATTTCTGATTAGACCTCCGTCTAGTTTATTTGGTTCCAGAGAACTGACGCAACCAACTTGAAGCAGCCAACGTTGATCGCACACCCAAAAATCTACTCGGCTCAAAGTGTAACTTCATGCGAACTCTCCTCTTGCATCATTGCAGCAATGGTCTCATACAGTGAAGGGATAGTTGTCTGAGCTAGGAGGATTGATCTCCTCTGATCAAACATTAGGTTCAGATGGGCCAGAAACTGCTTAGTCCTCCTCTGTGTAAAAATCCCCCTCTTTCTTGCACTCGAGATCGCCACAGCTCAACATCGGTAAGAAGTTATCAAGATCTGCCCACAACCGCTCTAATTCTATGGCATATTCCTAAATTGATCTATCACCTTATACCACTGTTTCTATCTTACATTGAATTTGAAACACTCTCATGTGATTCCCCGTTTGAGCATAAAGTCTCTTCAGCTTTGCCCAGATGTTTCACACCTTTCGAATGTCATCTACTAAGAATGCAATTGATCGAACCATCGAGTTGAGTAGCCCAATATAAATTAAGGCATGTGGTTCTCCACAACTATTACTCTTTGGTTTGTTTCCGATCAGAACTCCCTCTAGTCTCTTTGGTTCCAGAGATTCAACATGACCAACTCAGATACATGGTCGGTCCATCAAGCTTCAGATCCAAAATAGGGAGATCTAGCTTCACCTGTGTTGAGGTAGTAACTCCCGTCGAGGCGTTAGCTCCCTGTATGAGCCCGACTAAGACCTTCAGAACTGCAAGATCTAAATTTCCCAAAAACTCCAATCCTTTACCTCCTGCATTATTTTTGTCTCTTGACATCCTCGAACAGAAGAATCCAAATCTAGATCACCTACAAGTTTGATCCTTCGCTTCGATATGTTGCAATCAAGTCGTGGACTCTGGAAGCCTCAATCTTTAAGTTGCAATCATGGTTTGGTCCATGAAAGTAGCGATCTGTATGCTACACTTGTCACCGCAATCCAATGCCCGATCTTGTTGCTCACTGGTTCCGTGTAGGAGCCGCTATCCCGTACCTTCCCAATTAGGGTGAAAGTATCGCGAGAGTTTCGTTCGCGACTATAATTCAGCGATCCCGTGAGGGTCTCTGTTGCGACTGTAAACCACGATCCTTCGCAATTTGTGTTAATCGTCACAAGGATGAAGCCTGAAGGTTGTCATTCGTGACACCCGTCATCCCGTAGTTGTCGGCACTAATTGTCGCGACTGCTTCGTAAGGATGAAACTGTTCGGCCCTAGTTGTCGCGAGTGCTTCGTAAGGATGAAACCCGATGATCGAACAGGCTGTGATGGTGGGCTCTAATACCATGAAAAAAAATTGAGCAAAATTTAATTTGCACATTCATAACATGAGCTTAAACCGGGTATTCCAACATTTTATAAATAAAACTCTATACTTCTTCAATATTCTCTTTTACAAATAGAACGCTAAATAAGGTCCAATTCTTCAAGAGATTAGGGTGTAGAGGTGTTGGTGTGTGACATTCATTAAATAGCATGTCTAAATATACATTAAACATCATTTTAAGAAAATACATATAATACCTCAATTTCTTCAGATGTTTTCTATCATGCTCTAACTTGGAATCATTACAGGCTGCATGGGCACGCCTCTTTTTGCTCAGTGGCGAAAGATTTTGACTAAAATTTGATTTATATTTCTCTTCTCTATGATAAAATTCTTTTCTACTGGGAAGATTTCCAATATTCACTGTTGGATTATCAGTATATAGACTTCTACTTTCTAATTCAATATTTAAATGCTCTAATTTCAGAAGATACTGAATTTGTTTATCAATTTCCTCACGATCAGCACGCAATAATTCCCTTTGCTTCTGTAGCTTCTCCCGTTGCGCACTAAGCTCTTCAATAAAATGATTTATCTCAGACCACTCAGTCTGTCTCTGCTCTCGGTCACGGGCAATCTCCATCCTCTCATTTTCAAGTTGCTTCAACTCTAATGCAGCATGTTTCAACTGTTTCGCAATCTCTTCTTTCCGAGATGCAATACTCTGAAGCTCTTTGCTCTTTTCCTTCTCAAATGCTTCCTCTTTTTCTCTCAAATAATTTTCAACTTCCTCTCTCCTTCTACAAATACTGTTTTCCAACTCTTTCCTCTGAATCTCAAAATCATTAAGAAAATCTTCTTTTTCTTTATTAAACTTGACAAACCAATCTGAATGTTCTCGCTCCATCTTTCTCAAGAAGTCATCCCGCTCGTGAGACAAGGATTCAGCATTTTGCTTCAACTGATTGCGCAAGTTCTCCTTCTCGGCATTTAAACTGTCAAGTTCCTTCCTGAGGTACATGTCAACAGTTCTTCTCTCTTCAACTATTTGATCAGCTTCTTTCCTCAACTCCTCGCGTTTTTCATCAATTAGGTTCCATTCTATTTCAAATTTCTCTTTTTCTGACTTCAATTTTTCCGCTCCAACTTCAAGTTCCAACTTTTGAGATCTAAAGCTATCAATCACTTCTTTCAATTTTCTTTCGAATACAAGCAGCTCATTTCTCTCATTAGCAGAGATAGCTAGTTTCTCCTCTGCACGAAGAAGTTGCATCTTCTCATCTTCAAGTGTAATCTTCTCTTTACGAAGTTCTTCATGCATCTTATTAATTTCCTCCTTTTCTTTTTGTACGTTCTGCATCTTTGATTCGAGAGATTTTTCTGTAAGAAGTACAGATTTCTCTTTTTCCTCTAAAAGCTGGAGTTTCTTCATTACATCCTCCTGCTTGTCTGAAATGGCATGGAGATCAGTTTTAACTGAATTTTCCATCTTCATAATTTGTTGCTCTTTCTGCTTGAGCTCAAACTCCCAGGCACTGCAGTCTTTAATTTTCACTTCTATCTCATCCTCTAACGATTTCCTTCTCTGCTCCATTTCAGCTTCAAACTCACAAGTTTTCCTTTCAATATTACGTTGATATTCGGCTTTGAGCCTTTGCATCTCATCCTAAATGATTAAAAATGGTGAAGCATTAAATATTGCAAAATGAAGAATATTTGAACGACAAAAATGCGAAAAGGTTCTAAATACTCACAAATTCTTTATTAGAAATCTTTTCCTGTAATATAAGCAATTCCCTTTCCTTTTTGTCAAGTAGAGCTTCCCTTTTAAGGACAGCCTGAAAACACAGAAACCCGCAGCAGTTGATCATAAAAAACATTTAACAACACCGAAAAAATGTCGTTTTGCAACAGATAGAGCAACACAAACCTCTTCTCCTGCTGCAAAAGCAGACACATCAAGCTCCAACTTAACCTTTCCCTCCCCTAAAATTGATGAATCTTCTTCGAATTTCAATCTTGCTTCTGCCAATTCTTTCTCAGCACGGCTTATTTCATTCAATCTTCCATAGAGATGCTCTTCCCTTCGATTGAGCAGGCTTTGCCCTTCCATTAATCTCTCTTGCTCTTGACGCAATATCTTATGGCTGTCATTCAGAGATTGCCTCTGAAGACTGAGCTCCTTCTCTTTGGCCTCACAACTACGATATAATTGATTGCAGAAAAAGAAATAAAGAGATCAATTGCAAGAAGATCCATAGTTACAAAAACATCATGTTGTAGCAGCAAGATAACAATCTTTTTTACTAGCAACTTAGTGATATTTAACTAGCGTACATAATGGCAAATAAAGAACAATATGAAAACATGTGCTTTCAAAAGTGGCGCAGGGATATGTGAGAAAACTGGGATGTCTCTCAAGAGACTCATTGGTGTATGCAGATTCCACTCTGTTGCCAAGTAAATTGGTCAAGATCTCGGCTTAAAAAATTCAAGTGGGAACACCCTTCAAATGTAATTATCCCTCCGTAATGGAAGAGAACTATTCATTAAAGATGGTACACGGATATACTTCATAAGGAAGTGTTAAGGCAAAAATATTCCTCATGCCAGAGAAGAAAGGTTATTGGGGTGACATACGTCCTATCAATATTCCATAGTTACAACATCCAAGGTTTTACAAACCAATAAAAGAATCTAGGAGCAATGATTGTGATGTTTTAGATTCAAGTTAGGCAACTACACGCTGCACGTACTTGTTATTTAAAATTTTGAAAGCAAATGCACAAAGTCACCACTCCCACTAGCAAACCACACGAAAATGAAAGCTATTGGCCACAAGTCACTCCACAAGTTAAATAACATTGTTCAACTCCTTATTTAAACCCATGCGGTATATTTTGATTAAAGAATGTGAAGATTTGATCCAATCAGGAAAATTAATTTGGTTCAGGATTTGTTTATAAAATTTTCTAGGTAATGCAGCATTATTATAATTCTAATGAAAATTTAGTACAAATATCTAACCCCATAGTCTAGTAAAACCCAAAGGATAAACATTTGGTTAAAGATAACATCCAAAAAGAAGCTATTTTTTAGCCTACAATGAAGTTCCTACACTTTCCAAATCAACCTCTTACCAAATTTTTCATGCAATTCTGGCTAGCTCTAAGTAAAAAACTACAAGGAAAAAGATTTATTACACATTGAAAATAAGTATTGCATTTAATTAATACTCGACAAGTGAACAATAAAAGGAGGAAAAAGAATATTGAATATGCTCATAGATTAACCTACTCAGAGTGGAAAGAAACAGTTCGTCTTCTAAGTTCATCTTCACGAGCCTCTACATCCTGTAAGGTTCTTAGAGCAGCATTCTGACGACGCCTTCCTTCTGCTTGAGCAGCCTCTAACTCATGCGTTTTGGACTTTGCCTCATCAAACATCTTTTGTGCAGTTTGCATCATTGATTGAGCTTCAGTCAACTTACTTTCATAAGCAACTTTAATTTCAGCAGACTCAGCACGCATTTCATGCAAGGTCTTCTCAATCTACCAAACAAGAAAAGAAACTAACACATATACAAGAGATATATTTAAAGTTAACTCTTGCAAGGACAAAAAACTATACTCTTACATTCGCTAAGCATTCCTTTTCTATTCCTAAGGCCTTTTTCAGGTTCTCTTCGCGTTTCCTTGCTTCACCTAAAGCAGAGATATTTGCAGCTTTATCACGCGTATAAATTATCTCAGCTGACTCAGAAGCAGCTTTGATTTCATTGTATTTAGACTCCAAGTCTTTCTTTTCCAGTAAAATAAGCCCCATATTACATTGGTAATCATAAATCTGAAGAAAAATAAGACAATTGTAACTGAGATTAGAACAAATTCAAAAGAATGGAAGATCCATGTTTATATATTCCGACAAGTAAACTAAACTAATGAAGGAATTATACAGGAGAACTAAGTGTTTTAACCATTAAAAAATATTCTCAAATTTTAGAGCATTAAATAGCATGTGGTAGAATGGTTTTCACTTAGCAGGAAAAACAACAAAGGAAGAATTGTAAAATATGCACTAAGACTAGGTAAAAGTCAGGAAGCATTAAACTAATTACATTGAGCAGAATATTTTCATCACTTAGCAGGAAAAACAACAAAGGAAGAATTGTAAAATATGCACTAAGACTAGGTAAAAGTCAGGAAGCATTAAACTAATTACATTTAGCAGAATATTTTCAAATGTAAACACAAATGAAGACTCACATAAGCAAGTGTCTAAGCTAAAACCACAACAAGAGAGGAAATGTCCCTATCTAGCTAATCAAGAAAACGACAAATGAACAGTCCATCCAACCTTTGACAAAAATAACCAATGTACAAGAAAATCAAAAATCCTTTTTGACTCCTTGACGCCAAAGAACCAAATGAATGAACAATATCTAAATTCAGGGATGGCTATTTCCATATGGTACACAAAAAAAATGATATTCATGTTAGAAAGCAAAAGCAGATACCAGAAATATTTTTTAACAAAACTAACAAATCACGAACCGCCTGTGTGTACTTCACAAAGGTTGGTCCGCGTCATTTAGGCCAAACTAGAGATCCAGATCCATCCTACATCCCAGAATACAAACTTAAGAATTTTGGCCCGCAACTTCTTTCCACCAACATCCCATAGACGACTTCCTGTGCCAACAACTAAATGTGGCCTTGCTTATTCACCCCATGCATAACTCAAAATGTAGCCCCAACTACGTGAAACCTACTTGGCCGCTTTCTCACCCTAAGCCCACAGCTCTCGTTGGCCCTATTGACATCACTCTTAAATCATCATCTTAGCCTTTGAATTATAAGGATATCTTTCAAATATGACTAACTCAATAAGTTTATATATGTGTGGATGCTTATACATCAACAACTTTCCTACAACAATATAACAACTCATTAACAATAAATTAATAGACTAGTTGAAATAAATATACAACCTTAATGAGGTTGAAATATATAATGAATCGCTAACCTGCGAAAACAGTCGCAGACATATTATTAGTAACCACTTGAAAAGCACAATGTGATTTAGGGCCATTTTGGGGCAGCTTATAAGTGCGGCGGTGTTCAAAAACGCCGCCCCACTGTTTGTTTCACACGTTTGAGTCGCGTTTTCATAAACGGAGTTCCTATTTTACGTTACACGCGGTCCGCGGGTCTATCCCTGTGATCCGCGTTGCGCCTCCGAGCTTTTACGTGTCTGCCCTTGCAAAACATTCACGTGTTAGCCTTTGAATTATAAGGATATCTTTCAAATATGACTAACTCAATAAGTTTATATATGTGTGGATGCTTATACATCAACAACTTTCCTACAACAATATAACAACTCATTAACAATAAATTAATAGACTAGTTGAAATAAATATACAACCTTAATGAGGTTGAAATATATAATGAATCGCTAACCTGCGAAAACAGTCGCAGACATATTATTAGTAACCACTTGAAAAGCACAATGTGATTTAGGGCCCATTTGGGGCAGCTTATAAGTGCGGCGGCGGTTAAA